AAGACATATAATATGGGACAGAGGGAGTACATGACGCCACGCACAAGTTTTTGCTTAGTTTTTTGAAGTTTGGTGGATAATTATTTAAACTGGGTGGAGTAGTTTTTTTGTATTTTCAGATTTAATCAAACGGTGTTAAGGTCAAAGGTCTAAATGCTAACGGCAAGGGCCACATTGAGACAATTTTTTCAAGTATATAGGAGCAAATCGATGCAATCAAGAGTAAAATGAGGTAAAGTAATATTGAACCAAAGTTCAAGTGGGAAAGTGGAAATTTACCTTTAAATAATTGCGTTTTTTTTTTTTTTTTTCAACCCTCTAAATTTGGTGAAGTTATGGCCTGCTGCTAACTACTCCCTCCGTCCCAATTTAAGTGACGTTTTGGGTTGTTGCACATGTATTAAGAAAATCAATAAATGTGCATAGATTATAGTGAAAAGCATAGGAAAATACTAATATATCCCTGACGTTAATTATTTTACACTAACTAATTAAGAGTGATAAAGGGTAATATTGATAATAATGCAATTAATGATTCATTGAAAATCTAAAATGACAAATAATTTGGGACAAAAAAAACTCTCTAAAAAGACATATAATATGGGACAGAGGGAGTATTTTTTAATTACCACATTTTGTATAATTGTATTGTATCTGATTTCACTGATTAATATACAGTGCAGAAAAAACAAAAATAGTTTAATTAAGCAAAAAATATAATTAATAAGTAGGTGATTACTGATTATTTTATTCATAGGACTTTGCTAGTGAGACAAGGTTAAAAAAATAAAATTATGACAAATTAATATAATGTTTTGTATGACATGACACAAGTGACAGCTAATTCTTTATTATAATATTAAATTAGATTTATTGCAAAAAACAAAGAATTAAAACTGCCTTTTAAATGAACAGAATCGTGCTTTGAAATCTTCTCTCCTCTTATTATAAGTTTTCACATTCACATTCAACAATATTACTGGCCCATCATATGTCACACTGTCTTCTGTAACTAATGTTCAGTCCTAGTCCAATTTTATTTTTCTATTTTTTTAGTCAAACTTTAAAAATAAAATAATAATAAAATAAGAAATAAATCAATTTTGCATTAAGTTTTCTTACAAATATTAATGTTAGTGAAACATTTGTTATACAATGAGCAAATTAAATTGCATTTGGTTTTTTTGTTCAAACATATTATGTATTTAATTATAATCATGGCAAAAAAAAAAAAAGGAAATAAAACAAAGAAAAAACAAATTCTACCAAATACTCAATCATCAAGGGCAATTAGCCAATGACTCAAATACTTTAATTGGGATTAACTATTCAATAACTGTGGTAGTGGCATGACAAATGATGAAATCAATGTTTTTTTTATATACAAAAGCAATTTAGATGAGAATCCTTTAGATTAGAAAAAATTAAATAGGTCCCACTTGTTTTGTTTTATCGAATGTTTAATTTAATTGAAAAACATATAATATTCCTTCTATTTATAGTCTAATTACAATGACTCCATTGATAAGACTTTCACTAGCTTGATTTAAACAAGATCTCCACTAGTGCAATGCAAACCAAATATATATAATATATAAATATATGTATTAGCCCTAATTTGAAATTAATTTGACAGGGTCTTGTTAGTTAGTGTGTAGAGAGAGACAAAAAGAGATAAAGTTGGTTTCTTGGCATCCACTCTATTAATTAGTCCACCAAAGTTAGATAAATTCAACCTCACCTATCACATTTGAACCCTTCACTTTCAACCCAATATACACTTCTTGATTTTCTTTTTATTTATTTTTTTTGCATTTCCTTACATGGGAATTTTCATGTCTATTCATTGAAAATAACCCAAGATAGTTCAAGAAAAATCTTGAATTTTTTTTTTGTTTTTTTTTTATATATATACATATATCAATAATCAATGGCACAAACTGCAAAGTATGCAATGGAAAATGAGATTGGCTGTGGTTTTATGGGCTCACTTTTCCATCTCAAGGGATTATTAAGGCCAAAAAACACGGTCATGCTCGAAGTTGGCGGCGGCAGCCCACATTCCAAGAAGCGGCAACCACTCGCCGAAGAAAACTTCTCCGGCCAAAACCCGCCGGAGAAAAACCCGATTCCGGCCAGGCGGGCCCGAGTCTCGGACGCTGCAAGGAAATCGTCGTCGTCGTCCTCGAACAACTCCGGCTCGAACAAATCGTCCCAACTTACGGTTCCGTCCCTCTCGAAACCTCCCGCGAACGAAGAGTTGAGCCTCGCACTATCCGAACAAGCGAAATTCGATCCAAACGGGGCCCACTATCGAGCTTCGACGGGCAATGTCATGCTTTTAAGCCACTTGGGAAACATTAAACAGCTGAAAAAGGACAGCACAAGTGATCTGCCTAAGGTGAATATTGCAAAGAAGGTGGAAACCGGACAGCATCAACTACTCGGGAACATCGTTCGTAATAGTCCGAGGAATAAATCGAATCCTGATGTTATAAAGTCTCTAGGAAATGAAAAGTACAAGCAGGGAAAATACGAGGAGGCTTTAGCGTTGTACGATCAGTCGATTTCCGTTGATCCAACAAAGGCTTGCTATTATAGCAACAAGAGTGCTGCTTTGGTTGAATTGGGCCGTTTTGTGGAGGCTGTTTTTGTATGCAGAGAGGCTATTCGGATCGATTCTTCGTATTTAAACGCTCATTTTAGGCTGGCCAAACTGTACTTGAGGTAGTTTTTGAAAGGGATTTGATTTCAAGAATGCATTTTTATTTCAAGAAAGCATTTTTATTTTGTTGTCTTTTTTTTTTCTTTTGCAAGATTGGGAGAAGCCGAGGAAGCGATTTATCACTACAAATGCTCAGGACGAAAATCCGGGCCGGAGAATATTCTTCGGGCTCAAGATCTCAAGAATTGCCTTGATAAGTGCATTGAAGCTCGAAATCTTGGAGATTGGAAAAAACTGCTGAATGAGACTAGTATTGCATTTTCCTTGGGTTCCGATTCTGCTCCACAGGTTACATATTTTCCGAATACGAGTTTTTTTTTTTGTATATTTCTTGTACACGGGCTTTAATTATTATTTTGCTCATCTACGTATAGATTTACGCGATGAAAGCAGATGCTTTGATTGGGCTCCGTTTACACGAAGAGGCGTACAAAGTCATACAAAACGCACCGATTTTCACCACCGAATTATATGCTGAACTATTCGGCTCCTCTGTCGCAGCGGGTCTATTACAAGTTCATGCACTAGTTTACATGGCTAATGGAAGGTAATTAGTACAAATTTTTTACCTCGTACTTTCGATCTTAGTTACGAATTGAGTGTCCTAAGGAAACTGCATTTCAAGTACTATAGGTTTGAGGATGCTGCGGGCGCTGTTGAACAAGCTTTAAAGCTCGATAACTGCAGCAATAGCATCAAGTTAACTGCGGAGAGAGTGAGATGCGTGGGGTCCGCTAGAATAAACGGGAACCGGTTATTCAAGGGGTCTAGGTTTTCGGAGGCTTTGGTTTCGTACAACAAAGGGCTGGAGAAAGATCCACACAACTCTGTTTTGCTGTGCAATAGAGGTGCTTGTAGATATAAATTAGGACAATACGAGCAAGCGGTTGAAGATTGTACGGCTGCTCTCGTTTTACGGCCTTCATACTCTAAGGCCAGATTGCGTAGGGCTAATTCTAATGCTCAGGTGACTTTCTTGAATCTTGATCTTGATCCTTCCAAAAAAAAAATTTTTTTTTTTATAAATATATATAATTATGTAATTGGTGTGATGCAGTTGGAAAAATGGGGAGCTGCGATTCAAGATTACGAGATGGTGATGCAGGAAATACCGGGAGACGAAGATGTTAGTGCCGCGTTTTCGGAAGCAAAGATACAGCTCAATAAAATGCACAATACAAGTGGTAATTACTAATTATTCTTTTATTATGTACTCCAAAGTTTACATTAGTTCATCAATTATATAAAATCTTTCTTGAAAATTAACTGCATATTTATTTAACTGCTTGTTTCAGGTTAATAATATAGCCAGCCAGCCAGCCAATCAGAGGTTGTCAAAGTTATCTCAACATTTAGAATAACACTTACATTGATTGTTTCACAAGTTTTAAGGAAATTCACACAACTTCTTTTTTTGTTTTCTTGTCTTTGTTTTGTTAGAGTTTGTACAGTAGATTTTCGGCTTAGGATTTTTTTCTTTTTCTTTTTGGAAATTAATATAATTTTCTAGTGTGTGATTGGATTGGCAATTATTATTTATTAAAAGAAAAAAAAAACAACTGGGTTTTTTTTTTCTTTTCTTTTTTTATTATATCCCAACGTGTGCAATTCATGTATGATGGGCTCCTACTACAGAAATTTCAGCCCAATTAGTAAAAAGACCTTTATAAAAGTGTGTTGGGCTCAAAAGTTTTGTACCTCTTCTCTCATTGGTCTTTAATTTGCTGCCACTTATTAAATGGATGAATTTGAAATTATATAAATTAAACTTATTGAATGCAATGCAGAATGTCTTTAATCATGGTTACTTTTAGTGCATCTTAAATTGAGTTATTACAATTGTCTTCTTTCCTTGTTTGGTAATGTGTGTCTTGCCTCATTATTTGTGATACATGGACTTCTAATTACCCTTCGAGATTCGAGCAAAAAAATGTGTAATTAATTAAAGTCTCGGTTGGTTGTCAAGATAGGATTAGATCCGATCAGATAAATAACTTTATTGTGTGATTGGACTAGAAAAAGGTTGATAACAAAATTTTCAAATAAAAGTTCTTATTGCACATGTATGCATCTATAATTCTATATGCTTTGTGTCACTTGTGAATTATGCCATAAAAATCGACCAAATTTGGTGTGTGTGTGTGGGGTTGGTGTTTTATTGTGATTATGAGTTATATATAAAGCTAAATTTTAAATATACAAAAGAAAACAAATATATCAACAAACAAACATATAAAAGAACCATTACTATTATTTTTGTGTCGTATTTGATTTCACATATGAACATCAAATGATTTTTTTTTTTATTAAATATCCAATTATCATAATAAATTGTGTATAATTGATGTGCGTTTATATTAATAAAACAACTGAATATAATAAAAAAAAAATTATAACTAACTACTCAAGCTAAATTATATTTTTCATAGGACCCAACAATTAGACAACTCCAAATATATATATAAATTTCTCTGTACAAAGTAATACATATTCAAAACAGAGCAAAACATATTTTCAAAAAAAAAAAAAATTAGAAATCAAAGCGAATACATAATATATATTATTTTGAACATCAATTATTCATAATAAGTAAATAAAAAAAGAAAAAGAAAAAGAAAAAGAAGAAAAGAAGTATATGAAAGATGAACGTTGATAATAATGAATAATTAATGATGATCATCTCCTTGAACTTGTGCTTCTAGAAAGCATATCTTTAATTCCTCCGACGACCCATGTTTCCTTTGCAATGTCATCGGAAAGTTTCGAAAACTCCGTTCCACATCTCATAACCACCACCCCCTGTTCCTCCTTTTCTCTCTCCTCCTCCTCCTCTTCTCTCTCTTCCAACCAGCTTTTCGCCGGAGCCGATCGACACCTCATCAGCAACAGAGCATTCGCCGGCGGCGGCGCCGCCGCAGCACCACCGTCCTCATCTTCATCTTCATCAACCAAGCAAGACCCAATCATTTTCCCTTTTCCGGCCTCCTCTCGGGACACAAATTCCTTACCTCGATCCTCTTGTAAGATCATGAACCACTTTGAGAAAACATCTCCAGAATTATTATTATTATTACAGTCACTCTCCTCTTTGGGGCCCACCTTCTTTTCGTACATTTCATCGTCGTCCACGTCATCGTCATCGTCATCGTCGTCGTCGTCGTCGTCGGAAGAGATGACGGCCGTCGGATAAGAGCCGAAGCAGCGGAAATCGAAGCGCACATTACGCAAGCAAGTCAAGAACTGCATCACGTCTTTCTTGAACCCTAGCGCGTCCGTCCACGCGGACCTCTTCTTCTGCTTCCTGTGATTATGCAGCCTCTCGATCTCTTCCATCACCGACTGCCAGTTCTTGCACGAGCTCGGCTTGCTGGGCCGGACTTTTATTTGACCCGCACACGTCACTTTCGGTGACGTGGGCTCCGACATGTCAGAGTTCTGATGATGATTAGAAGCCTTCGTTTTGGCCCACAAAACTGGACTAGCAAGGCCGCCGCCGCTGGATTTATTCCTCCGGTGATGATGAGGAAACGGCTGAGGGTGGTGTTGGCGAGGGTGATGCTGGTGGCGGCGCGTGGATGTGTCAGACGGCCGAGATGGACTGCAGATTGGCTTCGGCATTAGCCGTAGATGAGCTCTGGTCGGAAAACAAACCAGTAAATCAGCCGAAGGTGGTCCTTTTCCTGCAGCTTCTCTACCTTTCATATTTGTCTGTTTATTACTAAATATAATTTTTTCTTCTTCCTCTTCTTCTTAAGAGTTAGTTTTGGGTAATAATCCTCGAAAACTGTGGGGATTATTTTATCCTCCGTTTGGGGATTGTGATTTAATATCAAGTTTGGATTGGATTGATCAAATTTAAAAGAAACGAGAGGGGTATGATATATGATATGAGGCAGTGGGAGTACAGCTTTCCTCTTGTGACTTTTTGTAATATGCCTTTTTTTCTTCTTTTTATATATATTATATTTATATATATTGTTGACACTTAAAATTTTGGATAATTAATTAATTAATAATCCAAACAAATTGTTATTTCAAATTTACAATAAAATGATCGGGGGAATCCAGAGATTGTAACAATTTTTCTCAATAATAAAGAAACTCGCAGTCACATTACGTTCAGTGCTACTATCAAATATGCATGTACTGAATAAACCATGTCCGACAAGCTCGATTTAAAAACAATTAATATCTAAATTTTAACCAATTAAAAAAGTTTGTGGGGGGCTTCTTTACCAGTTGTTAGTTACATAATTGTTTGGTTTCTGAAACACTCCTTTTTGCCCACTGTCTACGAAATGGGGCCCCACTTCTCACAAGTGAGTGACCTTTTTCGTTTTTCCACTTCTTTAATTTAATTTTTTATTTTTGAACAAAAAAACTTTAATTTTTTTTTTTTTTATATTATAGAAAACTTTAATTTAATGTGTTAGAAGGAAGCACTTTACTTTTAGGCCAAACAATGTCAAATATAAAAAAGAAGAAAAAAAGGAAAGTTGGTGACCACGAGGCTTGTTTCATGATCCTATCATCATTCATAATTCGACTCTGGTGGGACCCACGCCAGATAGCTCTTTCTTTTAATTCCCCCAATTATATTATTAATTAATTATTGCATTATTTCGATTATCTCATATGTAAAGTTGCTACTGTCAAGTAACGTTTTATTGGCTTTTTAGCAACTACTATTTAGGTGTTTAGGTGAAAGATGCTTTGAGATGTACTAGTTGGCAGAGTGGTGAGGCTTTTAACTTTAAATAATGCTTACAAAATAATAAATGACAAGATTTGCACACGTCCCAATAAGGATCTAACTTACATCTATTAATCTAAAATATATAAATAATCCATTTAATTTTTCAAATTATATATATTAATTTTAAATTTTATCTCCTATAGAGGATGACGTTACCACATTATTATGTGATCACATTTGGACGAATAGATTCATCATACTTACAAATTTGTTGACCACTTGTTTGGATTGATTCACCTAACTATTGGTTTTATGTTCTTACACTTTCGTTTGAACTAATTTTGAATTATTGTGATGCGCTGATTTTGGTGGTGTTTGTAACATTTTTTAGAAATACATTATAAGTTTTTTTCTGCACATAATTTGTTTTCAAGTGTTTGTAGAACAAATTTTTACTTTTACTTCTATTAGAATAAGTTCTTTGAAACTATAATTTTAGCTAATTTTTCAATTAATTTGCGAAATCCCCCAATTATTAGAAATAAATACTCAGTTCCGACTTAATTCACGATCACTTTTAAATAAGCTTTTGCAACACCATCTTAGTACTCTATATGGAAAAGTTGATTGTTTACATTTTACAAGTAGGAGAAAAAAAATTATTTTAATAGCAACAAATAAAATAAAATAAAAGGGTTAATAGTTTAATTAAAGGTGATTAAGAGGAAATGATGAAAGGGTTGATGGCACTTGAGAGCATTAGCTACTATATGGGCCCTAACATCCATTATCTAAATATTGCTTTCGGATTAGACTTATCAACTATGCTTCCATTGGTCCTTTTCATTAATTAGATCAATATATTTCATATCTTTATTTTATACCAAATTCTAATAATTTCATGGGAATTAAATAACTTCCAGGAACCTTCTTTTGCACAATCGAACTATTTATTTATGCTTAAAAATGTTGATTTTTTTTTTAAATATATAATATGTGATTTCACTTTTAACGTTCTTATATTTATCTTAAATTGATAATATTTTTACTGTATCAACCATCATTAGAAGAATTGATACTTAATCTTGACTATTCAGAATCTCGGACCAATGTAAGGATCAAATTCTAGTACTTCGGCACTTTCCCATTCGTAACAGAATTTGTATTTTGTGTAAAAAAAACCGAATGCTTTTATAATATTTTCACTATGTATATGTCATAAAGGGCATGAAGCAAATCATTATTTATTTAATTTTCTAATGTTTGAAATAATTAGAATTTATATTATTTTTGGGGTGTTATGCCAAATACAGTTCATCTCTATTTTCGCATTTTCTTTTTTCTAGATGGAGGCCAGAGGGATCCTCATTCAAAGAATTCTTATTTATCAATAAATAATTAATTTATATATTAGTCCTAACTCGTATATCATTACTTAAAAAAAAAAAAATTAAAATCGATATCTCTGGAATTGAAATTGAGTGCTTCTATATACGATCTCCAATGAAATTGTAGTGCCAATGTTTTCTTGTCTCGAACCATTTGTAATTATTTAACAAGCATAATCTTTAATGGTTCAATAAACAACTTTTAATCTTTCTACGTTCTATGTCAAATAATGATCACGTTTCTATATTCAAACATATCCACGGATGTAATTTGCAAGCTACCACACGAATTGTTAAAATTCACCTAAGTCAATTATTCATAGATTTATCCGTAATTAACTTGCATGGAATCGAGATTATTGATATTAACTTGAGCAATTTAAAATAATTTATGAAAATATCTAAATAAAAATATTATTTGGAATTTTTTTTAATAATTTAAGAAAAATTAAATGGATAATTTAAATTGGGCCAATATTTGTAAGAAGCACCTATTCTACAAGGCCCATTACATTTTAATACCGTTGAAAAAATTGGGCTTGATAGGGTTTCTTTTCATTTCCCCCAATTCTTTTCCCCCAAAATTCAATTTTTCCCCCTTCGAATTTTGAAGAACCCTAAATCCTCTCTTCCGATTTACTGAGAAAGATTTGAACTTTCACGCCATTTTGTCAGTAGAATAAGTTCTCCGACGCAATTCATCGCAATGTTTCTGCAAATCCGCAATAACATTGTTCACTTCTCCAAGAATTATTCCTTACGAACTCGCAACTCCCATTTTCCTTTCCCTCTTCTTTCTCTTGTCCAATTTTACTCCAAATCTAGGGTTGAGAAACAGAGATCCCCTGCAATTTTCGAATTATTGCTGCACAAACACAATTTCTGCCCGGAAGCCGCGTCGCAAGTCGCCACGTGTTTAACCCTAACCCGCCTGAAAACCCTCGAGAAATTCGACTCCACACTGTCGTTCTTCAAAGAGAGCGGCTTTTCAAACCCCCAGTTGGAGAAAATGCTCAAGTACAGACCTACTCTGCTCTCAGCAAATCCCGACAAGGTAATCAAGCCCAAAATCAAACTCTTCCAAGACTTGAATTTTTCTGCTCAAGACATAGCTGAGATAATCACGAACGATCCCGATATTATTACCGTAGTTTGAACAATCGAGTCGTGCCGTCATGCTTGTGTGAAGACTTGCTAGGTTCTAGTTTGGAGGTAGCTAAGGTTTAAAAGATTTCCGGGTGCTTCTTGAAATATGATATAGGCAAGACTATGGCTCCCAATATCGAATTCTCGAAAAATTGTGGTATAGCGGTTGAGCAGATTAGTTGGCTTATGTATACTTATCCGAGGTGTCTCCTTTGTAAGCCGAAAAGTATGATTAAATTTGTTGGTAGGGTCGATGAAATGGGAATTAATAGGAGCTCGAAAATGTTCATTCACGCCATACGTGTGCTTAGTTCGATGACGGACGAAACTTGGGAACAAAAATTGAAGGCTTTTAAGAATCTAGGTTTTTCCGACGAAGACATAGTGGAAACTTTTAGAAAGGCGCCTCAGGTTTTTTCTATGTCCGAAGAAAAGATGAAGAAGTTGAAGGAAATTTTGATTGCGAGTGGGAAATATGATTTTTCGTGTGTTATTAGTCACCCAACGTCACTTATTTGCAGCGTTGAGAACAAGTATAAGCCGAGGCTGCAAGTTTTGGGGGTTTTGGAAAGTCGTAATCTGATTAACAATTGGCCTAGTTTTTCAGCGCTATATAAAATGCCCGACGAATCTTTTGTGAAGAAATATGTTGGACCTTATTTAAGTGAAGTTGGTGATCTGCATAAAGTCGAGAGTTCGTTCTGTGCTAAAAACGGCTTGTGAAATTCTACAACTGTTGAGGCTTACACACTCTGTTCAAAGCACTAAACAGCAGATTATTGCTCTCCTTGCATTATGTTTATATGCTTTATGTAATTTCTGTTGTAAACGATACGAGCAGATATGGTTGCTCTGAACATTTTATGTAAAATTGTTTGATCAAAATTTTATTCGGTGAAATTAATCAAATCAAGAAATGTAAAGAATAATTTGTTATACACATTTGTTTAGAAACTGAATCTTCGCAATTCAACATATAGAGAATTGAAATGTTAAATGTCGTTTCAATTTTACTAATGTCGTTTTGACTTCAAATCTGTTTTTGATATAGTTCTATTTTGATTTTGGCAAAATTCTAAACATGAAAACTGTAGTCCTTTGACTTAGCTTTCTAATCCAACTTAAATCCGCTAGATTGGATGCCGTGTGACAAAGTTTTGCATGAATGAGTCACATTTTGAATTTTAGATACCTCAATACATCAAAGTTGTGGGCATTATCCATTGATTCATGTATATTTTTCTCGTCCGATATCCAATTTTGGTGATTCAAGTTGGATTAAAAAACTAACTCAGAATACTACAAATTCTATATTTCGGATTTTGAAAAATTTAGAATTAAAAATAATCAAAATCACGTTTGAAATCGAAACAGTATTATTAAAGCTCGAACGACATTTATCACATCCCTATAGAGAAAAGTAGGGTTGTGCATTGGTTGGTTTTATTTAAAAACCAGCCATAAAACCAACCCAACCCATCCAACCAACTTTGATAAATATTGGAAACCGTTATCGACCCAATTTACATGGGTTGGTACCAACCCAACCCATCCAACCAACTTTGATAAATATTGGAAACCGTTATCGACCCAATTTACATGGGTTGGTTGGTGGTTTGGTTGATGGGTCATCCATTTAAATATTTTTTTTAATTTTTTTTAATATTTTATTACCTGTTACATTGTTATATTTTTTATAAATTAAATGCGACTAGTTCAATAGTATTCAAATAAAAGATTCAAAAGACTACGGGCATATATATTGCAATTAAACATAAATAGTTCAACAAATAATAATCGTCCAAATATTTAGACTATATGTCTTAAAATTAAAATAGTTCAAATTAGATAATTAGGTTAGATTTATTGCTTTTAAGATTTTGGTTAATATTAAACAATTTAATAAATGTGATATAAAATAGAAATTTGAAATTAAAAATATTAAATATTTTAATTAAAATTAATAAATAATAAATTAATGAATAAAGTTGGTTGGGCGATATTAACCGACTAACCAACTTTTTAGCATATTAGAAACCATTATCGACCCAACTATACATGAGTTGGTTGACATTATCGACCCAACTTATATAGGTCGGTTGATGGTTGATTAACCATCACAAATTGTGGGTCGAAAATGAGTTGGTTGGTGGTTAAAACCGATCCATGCACAGCCTAGAGAAAAGCATAAAGGGCAAAGAAGATGACAGAGTATTACAATTTCCGGGTTTTTTTTTTTTTTTTCGAACGGAATTGGAATCAGATTTTCAATTACGAAAAAATAAAAATTTCGAAAAGTGTTGATTACGATCTAATCCGTTCGATTTCCATCTTAATAATAAACCTAAAGAAAGTAAACAAGTTAAAATGAAAAAATAGTGATATAAATAACCCAAAACTTTAACTCGAAAACAAAAAAAAAAATATATGACCCGAAATCAGTAATACGGGTCGGTCTGAACCGGATAGAGGAGTTTAAAAGGTCGGATTTTGACCCGATTGTTTGGCAGGAGTTTCGTCCTAGGTGAAGAACCCTAAACCCCGATTGCGAAAAACATTTACCTGTCTTAATTTACAACATTGATTTGGCTTTGTGTCTCTTTAATTCTCGAAGTGAGTGAGTGTTTCGAATTAGGGTTTTGAATTTTGATACTCGTTCTGTTAATAATGATTGCAGCAATTGTACGCCAAAATGGCATCAATTTGTGCTTCAAGAATTCTTCACCCCTCCGCAAATCCGATGTCGTTTTCTCGCATCTTCTTCTCCATTTCTCTACTGTTATCGACCCTACGGTTCCTGAAATGTTGATGCGCAAGCACAATTTCTCTCCGGCAGCGGCTTCACAAGCCGCCCCTGTTCTCGCCCGCATGAGGAATCCAAACAAATCCGATTCGGCAATCACATTCCTCAAAGAAAACGGATTCTCCAAAACCCAAGTGGATAACATTGTGAAAATCTGGCCTCAGTTTCTCTCCGCCAATCTCGAAAAAACAATCAAGCCCAAAATCAAGATTTTCCAAGACTCGGGCTTTTCCGCAAACGACGCCGTCGCTATAATCTCGAACGATCCTCGGATTCTGAGGCAGAGCCTGAAAAATAGAATCGTTCCGTGTTTATCTACATTGAAGGGTTTGTTGGGATCGAATTTCGAAGTGGCTAGGCTTTTGAAGAATTGTGGATGGTTCTTGGAAACTAACCTCGACAACAATTTGATACAAAATGTCGAGTTCTTGAAGAACTACGGCTTGCCGCTGGAGCAGATCACTTGGTCCATGCATTATTTTCCTATGATTCTGCTGCGTAAGCCCGAGACCGTGAGGAAATTCGTTTACAAGGCTGAGAAAATGGGGGTTAGGAAAAGTTCTAGAATGTTCATTCACGCCGTCCGGTTGTTCAGTTCAATGTCGGAGGAAACTCTGGAACTGAAGCTGAGGACTTTTCACGCGTTGGGGTTTTCCGAAGATGATATAGCAGCGACGTTTAGAAGTGTCCCTTTGGTTTTCGGTGTGTCGGAGAAGAAGATAAAGGAGGTGAAAGATGTTCTCTTTGCCACCGGGAAGTACAAAATGTCGTGCATTGTTAAAAACCCCGTTTCGTTTATGTACAGCGTCGAGAAAAGGTATATGCCGCGGTTTAAAGTCTTGGAGATTTTGGAAAGTGAGGGTTTGATTGAGAAATGGCCTTGTTTGGCTGTGCTGTGCAGAATGTCTGGTAAGAAGTTCTATGAGAAATTCGTTGGTCCGTATTTAGACCGAGTTGGAGATGTTTATGTGGCGAAGGGTGTAATAATTGGAAACGGAGAAGTCGAACGAGGGTTTGAATGTTGACCGTACTACTGTAGTAGCTGGTGGTTAGTTTTGTGGCAACTTGTTGAAGATGACTACTGAGCAGAAATATGAACTTAGCTCAGATTTTAATTTTCATGTAAGGTAATGATATTGTAGCTGCATTTATGTTTATTATTTGATGTTTAATTGTTTGGTGTTGGATTTATTGTTGAATGTAAGTCTTTATTACTTTCAAGAATTAATAATTTTAATGTTTGTACTTGAAAAAAATAAGAAAATAATAATAATATAAGGGGTCCCAAAAACATTTATCTGTCGAGGACCCCATACGGGCTTGGGTCGGACCCTGGTATTACGTAAGGCAATGTTTGGATCGTTTTCTTTTCACTTTTAAACCAGTTAAATTGATCGTTTTCGTTTCACTTTTAAATCATTTAAGTTGAATTATTGATGCAATGAATCCATGTTGATTCGATCCGGAGCAGTCCAAGTCCGACCACTTTGGATCCGATTTTTTTAGATTCGATCCACATGGATCCGAACCGGGTCCAATCAAAGAAATGAACTTTATTGGATGTGGTCTTATTCGGGTCGGGTCGGTTCATTGGCAAACAACCTTTATCCGAGTTGAAGAACCCTAACCCCAAAAGTGATCAACAATTTGAGGAGCGAGTCTTACTGTGTTGTTTTGGGTTGCTTTCATCTTCAATTGAAGTGGGTATTTTCGAATTAGGGCTTTCACAACACTCCCTTCAATAATGATTGCAACAATTATTCGACAAAATCGAATCAATTTTCGTTTTTTCAAGAATTCTCCATCATCTCTCTGCAACTCCCATGTCGTTTTCTCGCAGTTTCTTCTTCATTTCTCTACTTCAGTTACGGCTTCTGAAATCTCGCCGCTTAAACACCGTTCATCTCCGGCATCTTCTGTTCGGAACCCTAAAAAACCCGACCTCGTAATCTCATTCCTAAAACAAGCCGGCTTTTCTAAAACCCAGGTGGAGAAATTAGTGAAAACCTATCCTCAATTGCACTCCGCCAATCTCGAAAACACAATCAAGCCCAAAATCAAAATTTTCAAAGACTTGGGCTTTTCCTCAAACGACGCCGTCGCTATAATCTCACACGATCCTTGGATTCTGAAGCAAAGCCTGAACAAAAAAATCATCCCATCTTTATCTACACTGAAGCGTTTGTTGGGATCCAATGAACAAGTAGCTAAACTTTTGAAGAGATATGGTGGGTTCTTGAAAACTAATCTGGACAACAACATGGTCCAAAATGTCGAAATTTTGAAGAATTGCGGTGTCGATATGAAGCAGATTATTCCCGCCATTTACCGATTTCCGATGTTTATTCTGCGTAAGCCGGAGCTTGTGAAGAAATTGGTGGATAAAGCGGACGAAATGGGGGTTAGTAGAAGTTCTAGAATGTTCTATCACGCTGTGCGGATATTGAGTTGTATGACCGAAGATACATGGAAACTTCGGGTGCGGGCTTTTCGTGAGTTGGGGTTTTCGGAAAAAGATGTGGAAGCAACGTTTAGAAACTCCCCTTTGGTACTCGGTGTATCGGAGACGAAGATAAAGGAGGTGAAAGAGGTTCTTCTTGCCACTGGGAAGTACAAAATGTCGTGTATTGTTAAAGACCCGATTTCACTCATGTACAGCGTCGAGAAGAGGTATAAGCCGCGGATACGAGTTTTGGAGATATTGGAAAGTAGGAATGTGATTGTGAGATGGCCTTGTTTGTCGGTGCTATGCAGAGTGTCGGAAAAGGATTTTTTCGAGAAATTCGTTGGCCCTTATTTGGATCATGTTGGAGACGTTTACGTTGCAAGCGCTCGAAAAGGAGATGCCAAACAAATTGAAGATGAATAGCGTACTACGAGTGGTTCGAAACTTCGAATATCGACCAAACAACTACAGCCAGTGGTTCGAAATATGGATTTAATTTTCTACTGTTGTGTAATTTAGGCTTCTTCGTTTATGGATTGATCGTCGTGACCGTAAATATTTGGTGCCCACTGTAATTATTCCAGAGAAATTTGAGTAGTATTCTGGAATGGGGGGTTCACTTTGAGTTATTGTCTCTTGGTAATTTTATCGAACACCTTACGGGCATTACACGGTTATGCAGTGAAGGAGCAGATTCTTGCATTTATTTTCTTACCCTTCCAATTTGGGTTATTGTCACTTTACCCCTATAATAATATCTATCTAACATTCTACATCCTAAAATTTGTTAATTATATTTTAAAAAAATTAATAAAGAATAAACCATTCATATTATTTTATGTAATAAATTAATAAAGCATTATTTTTAATATTAAATCAAGTCTATTGAACTAATTTAATTTTAAACTCATAAAATCCAGTAAAATAAACTAAAACCCTTTTATTTATTTATTTATCTTTAATTTTATTTCTTAATCCAGAGATACGAAAGAGGGTTCAATCGAAGACGCAGGAAACCTAATTCTTCAACGGCGTAAGCATTTCTCGGCAAATCAATTCTGCAGAAGTCTTCGCCACCGGCAAGTAAATCCTCTGTAATAAGTATTAATCGCGTACTTGTTTGTTGTTTGTTTTCATCAATGATGTCGATACATATACGCAGAGGTTTTAGCTACTTGTTTTCCCAGAATCCTTCTCTTCTCTGCAAATCCCGCGCTCCTTTCTCTCTCTATTTCTCTACTTGTATCGAACAGCAACCTCAAACAAATCCCGTACTCTCCGATTTCCTGGTTCAAAACTACCATTTCCGGCCTCAAGCAGCTTCACAAATCGCCTCCGGTTTAACCGGTCTGAAAAACCCTCACCAAAAATCCGATCTTTTACTCACATTCCTGAAAGATATCGGTTTCTCAGTGACCCAAATGGAGAACATCTTGAAATCCTGGCCCGAATTGCTCTCCGCGAACCTCGACAAAATCATCAAGCCCAAGATAAAGATTTTCCAGGAATTCGGCTTTTCGGCCAACGAGATCGTCGAGATGATCTCGAAAGAGCCCTCGATTCTGCATTCGAGCGCCGATAAGAGGGTCATTCCCTCGTTGTCTGTTCTGAAAGGCTTGCTTGGGTCCACTGCTGAAGTGGCCAAGTTTTTGAGGGTTAGTGGCTGGTATTTAAAAACGGATCTCGATAAAACTTTGGTGCCGAATATGAATTTCCTGATTAGCTGCGGCATCCCCACGGAGAAGATCATTTGGCTTATGTATTATTTCCCGAGGTTTCTTCTGCAGAAGCCGGAAAATATGGAGAAATTCGTTGCTAGGGCTGATCAATTGGGGGCAAATCGGAGTTCCAAAATGTTCGTTCATTCAGTTCGTGCAGTTAGTTCGATGAACAACGACACGTGGGAGCACAAGCTGAAGGCCTTTCGAGATTTAGGGTTCTCGGAAGAAGGTATAGTGAGGCTTTTTAGGGTTGAACCGCTGCTGTTTTGCATATCGGAGGAGAAAATTAGGAAGCTTGAAAGGTTTCTTCTTGCCACCGGAAAGTACGATCTTTCGTGCATTGTGAAAAATCCAACTTCGCTGACTCGCAGTATCGAGAAGAGGTATGAGCCACGGTTTCAAGTTTTGGAAATTTTGGAACGCAAAAATCTGATAAAGAATTGGCCTAGCTTTTCGGCTCTGTACAAAATGACGGACAATAAGTTTTTCGAGAAATTTGTCAGCCCTTATTACAATGAAGTCGGTGAAGCTTATATGAAAAAATGCGTGCTTGCTCGGAAAAAAGAGGTCGACTCTGTAGCAAGATTGG